CCATTTATTATGTTTCGTCACGTAAAAGAAATCTTGCTCGTAGTTCAGGTTCCGCGATTGATCGGTCCGATAGTGAAGGGAGCGATGCATGTTCGTTGACAGCTCGAAAACGACTGGTTACGATGTGCCAAAGAATTGATTTAGGGGGTATTGAGCTTGCGCTGGCGAGTAAGTGCAGCTGTACGATTAGGGTGGCAAATCGATCAGTACTTGTTAGAAAAAGCGACCGCTTCGAAGTACAGTGGAAACTACCCAACTGTTTGAGGTAAAGGTGAATGCAACAGACGGAAAGCTAGTATTATGCATGAGTGTTCGATGATTAGGTGCTATTACTCTAAGACCAATGAGTACATCTGCGATAAAATAGTATTGCAAAATATCTGGGTGGTACACAGTATAAGGGAAATTCGCAAATTTGCAAACATATTAATTATACTGTATTTCTGAAAAAATGTAATTTAACTAAATTTTACTGTAATTAATCGCGACTAATTTTGTGCTATAAACGATTATCATAGAATTTTCAAGTTACCCAAAAGTGTATGTATATTAGTTATAAATTGAGCTCGCAAACATATTGGCGAAAAAACGAATATACCTGAATGCTCTACTGAAATAGTTAACTACAACCATCGCGCATTGGAAATATTTTCTCTTTCTGCAAACAATTTATAACTTTCAAAATTTGTTTATCCGTTTTCTAAAAAGCCAACATTATTTGGAAACGAGAGAGAAATAATCTCTAATCAGAAACAGTCATTCGGCAACAGTTTGACACAAATTCAAATACACAAACGATGATCTAATCACCTGTAGAATTTCGATTCTTGTTTAAGCCTGTTATTTGTGTCATCGGATTATGATTTATATTTAATGTTTACGTACAGAGCTGAATGTGTCTATTGATATTTCGAATATCTTCCCACCCATAAGTTTCGGCGGATATCTCGATATACCAATCAGAATTATTAAGTCCTGGGCCTTCTTTTCTGGTAGGTTGTACCATTCTATATTGTAAGTCGCTTCACCAAATTTTTCGCCCTATTGAGAGAATAATTAATTTTGTTGCTCTCGAAAGGGATGTAAGTGCGGATCATTGAAAATCGTACGACACCTCTTCGACAAGAAGATCGCCCGCGTAACAAATTATGAACATATTCAGAGTCATCGAAATCCACGAGCCAACGTATGTTCCGAGCGCTATCAAATCAACGTCTCTCCACGCCTAAAAGAAATCATGTACTTAATTAAGTGCATACGCAATCTAGTACTGCTAAACACTAATGCCGTTTACCATAATGGAAAGATATTCCATAGTGCATATAAGAAGAGTCGTGGTCGTTACTTCCAAAAAACATATCTCTTGCATCGCATACGCGACGCGTTTCGCGTATCTAAAAATATTTACAGATATAAGTAGAAAATTGCTATATCGTGGAACCAGCGAGGCAGAAGTAATCAGTTTTGCTATGTGAAATAAGAATCGAACGATAAAGTGATAGACTTACGTTAATATCCCAACGTGATTACTGACGATAAGAGGTAAGAGACTTTTCTCCTTGTTATTCTTCGCATTTACAACCATGTCTTCCAACAGTGCCATTTGAATCTGAAGCATTCCGCGAGCATGACCGACGAAGGTTGACATTATACCGCACAAGGCTGTCTCTACGCCTACGGAGAGACACGAGAAAGCGCAGTGCGCGCTGTATACCATTTGGTAAGTAGGTGCCGAGTAAATGTCATCAATAAACAAGTCAAACCAGGGGAAAAGCAATGGTTTCACACCCTCAGTGGCATTAGTGGCCACAGACCACGGGGACGAAAATAAGGGTAAAACGGTGATATAGCACACGATGTTGGTGTACATGAGAATCGTAAACGCGAGGGTCGATTTATTAGCGATAGCTAATTTTTCGAGCATGATGGTCTGGTGCTCCACGGTTTCTATCGATTTCCAATCTTCTTCCATCTGTTCGATGCAATCCTTCAACTCGGTTGATTTCGAACAGAGATAACAAAACTTCATTATGCACGAAGTACTGTAACAGATAGGCGCAAAAATCGTGATCCGCTCGTCGATCTGTTTCACGTGGAAAAAGCAGTAGTACATCGTCGGCAGCAGCGTAAACAACGAACTGCCTAGACACGTTGCTAATAGTATCATCGAGACGATTCTCTCGATTACGCCGTGGTAGCCGTTTATCAACGGCCAGACACCGATTACCTTCAGAAGCAGTCGACAATATTTTAGACTGTTCCGTGTATTTTTCTGATAATTATTATTCATCGTACGTTTCGACTGATTCTTAGAAAGGTCTTATAAGTGAAAGCTCCGACCTTGTCGACTGCGATCTTTATGATTTTTTGTAGGATAGTAGTACATATGTCCAGATTGATGTACGTTAAATATTAGGTGTAGACAATCAATACTTTGCGAGATATAAATAATTAAATTTACATACCAGGATTATGTACAGTATTGTCTGCTGTTTTCCTTGGTGCCACAGTGGTGCAGTGGGGTGAGTCGCTCGTTTCCCAGCACGTCGCGCGATCGAATCTTCCACTATACATATAGTTTTTTCTTTTTCGTCCTTATGTTTATTATTAAAACTTAATTCTATCCACCAACGTGTAATAATGTGCATGACGATAGAATGGTACAGATCGTACATGCACTCAAAGCACAAATAGTTCTTACACCATGAACACACACTACAAATGCTTGTTTCTTGTACACACTTTTGTTTTCTTATTAAATTTTTGTTCTCTCTGGGAAAGCAACTTGATTAACATTACAAAATATTTCTCGTTTTGAAATTAATTTGTAATTAATGTATAAGAAACAAGCATTCGTAATCTGTTAATAGTATAAGAACTATTTGTACTTTGAATGGATGGACGATCTGTACCATCCATCGTCATGCACATCATTACACGTTGATGGATAGAATTAAGTTTTAATAATAAACATAAGGACAAAGGAGAAGAAAGAACTGTATAGTGGAAGATTCGATCGCACGACATGCTCCGCGCACGAATGAAACACTACGCTTCACCAACGTGATACCAAGGAAAATGGCAGACATTCCTGTACATAATACTGGTATGTAACTTTAATTACTTATATCTCGCAAAAAGTATTGATTGTTAACACCTAATATTTAACGTACATCAATCTGGACACGTGTACTACTATTAAACAAAAAATCATAAAGATCGCAGTCGACAAGGTCGAAGCCTTCCCTTGTTAGTATCGTCGACGTAGTTGTTCGACTGAGCGAAGAGCATTCTGTTGACAGCGAATGTAAAGACGCAGGCGCATCGTTACAGTTCAAAGAAAGAGTTTAATTATGCGACGTATTGTTCTATAGAATGAATCAAGAGTGATATCGAACAGCGAACTTGTACATCGACGCACGTGCTAACGAACATGTACATACGATAAAAAGAAAAGTAAAAGGTAGAAGAACCGTGGAAGTTTTTTCTAACGAGGTATACTGTCTCCTCTCGTTGGTCCTTGGTTGAGACCGCAAAAAAAGAGAAGAGCACGCGAACCGTTCTACCAGGTTTTACAAAGTTCGCACAAGTTTGTATCTTGGCTGAGAAATAATTGACAACGTTTGAAGTATACGAGGGACGGATGCAATTCCTTTCTTAATATTTCATCAGATGCGAAACCTGATCAGAAAGTTCTGCGTTTAGAAACTGTACGAAGAATATACGAATCTGCAAGTTAAAGGATTACACTGCTAATTCTTTGGCTGTGAACTGATCAATTTCTGTACACTCAAATCTTTCGTCGAAGGTAATCTGCGTACGAAAAAAATTCGTCAAGATATAAGTAAAATAATCTTTGTGGATAAGATGTTAGTAGATAATGAAATTTGAATAAATCATAATTTCAATGTGTTTATTCGTTTCGTGTAATTGTTTAAAAAAGTAATAAGTTAATTTTCAAATCGTCTCTCTGATTTAATTTCAATATCGTCTGAAATAATAATATTCTGGGAACTGTATTGAGGTTTCGAGAAAGTCACCGCGATAATATAAAAACATCGATACACGAACCGAGTTTCTTGCCGGCTCGGTCGTTTTAACGGTTGCGATGTTTAGATTCCGCGATCGGAAAAAGTTCGAATAGGGCAGAGCGCCACGGAGTACGAAGACACGCGCGTGACGTGTCACCTGAGCGCGAGCGAGACAGAGATACCTTGTGATTCCCACCTCGCGATGACCGAGGTAACGGCCGATTTCGGCAAGACGATCATTCCTTTGTGAGATTTCCGTGATCGAGGAGTTCGTCACGAGTGATTTCGTCTCGAGGTTTCCGCGATTTTAAGTGTTCCGCGTATTGACTGTGTCCGTGACAGAGGATTGCTCCCTCAATCATTCCTGTATTGGATATTCCGTGAGTAACGTTCCGCGCTGATTTCTTCCGCATCGCGAACTCCCGAGTTGAGGGTTATCGTGCCGAATAATTATCAGTGATCAATTGTATAATCTACATACTGGACATTGAAATTGAAAAAATTTATATGGATTCGGCGTTTAAAACGTGAAAGTTGAATGTGCAAATTTTTATGTTGGTTTTTTATATTTAGGATGTAATACACATGCATACATATATGGAATATATTGTACAAACTAGTGCATGTAAAACATTTTTGTAAATGTATTAAGAAGCCATAATTTGTTCTAATCTTAGAATTTATATAATGTAAGACCAAGTACGATGCGTCGCTGACGAGTAGAGTTCTGGAAGGTATGCCATTTGATCGAGGAGAAGTAGAATAAAATAGAAACAAGACAATTGGTGCGTGGAACCTAAACACTGATGTTGGCACAGTCTCGCACGTGCGGTTTGTATACTGAAATCAGATAATGGGTTGTTATCTGACCATGTAAATTTTGAGCGAGTGTCGAAGGTAGCGTGCGAGGAACTCCTCTTCCCTCTGTGCCGTCCCGTAACTCTTCTTATGAGCGACCGACTGTAAACGTGTAATACATATGTACTCTCGATTACCGAACTATAGACTGCTGCGATTAAATTCGGTTTTATAAAACTTTTACACCGATTCAAAAGCATGGATATCGATAGATGTGTTCTTTTCCATTTAAAACGAAGGAGAAATCACGGCGTATCCGCAGATACACTGGAGAACGTATACCAATTCGTAAACGGGGCTTTTCTGGACATCCAAGAGACCGCTATAAGTTGGATAAATCAACAACTTGATTGTACGATTATTCTCGTCAACGTATGACCCGACACTGTACTGCTGGATCGTGTGATAGATTATACCGCCGGCGTACATGAACACCACGCTGGATACGGACAGATTTCGGCCGATTTTTCCGTATCTCAGCATCAGGTCACGATCTTCACGTAATTCTACCTATCGGAATGGTACTGAAATTTTCTTAACGACACTCTTAAACAACAAAAGCGTTTCTCGACTGACCTGCTTCCAATCAGTTCGCAATTGTTCGATGCAACGCTTAATCTTATTTTTACGCAGCGTGAGAGCCCAATACTTCAGCATGGAAATGAAGGAGAAAGCGGTCAGGCCTAAAATCTTCAGTCTTAGCAATGGGTTCTTCTGCTCGAAGACAATGTGCAGAATGCATTGTAGAAGAGTGAAGGACAATATCAAATTACTAATTACGATCGCGATATTCGGTAAATATTTGCCGATCCCTAATTAACACGGCCGGCCAGATGCCGATGGAATTGAGGATCCATTTATTATGTTTCGTCATGTAAAAGAAAACTTGCTCGTAGTTCAGGTTCCGCGATTGATCGGTCCGATAGTGAAGGGAGCATCCATGCATGTTCATTGACAGCTCGAAAACGACTGGTTACGATGTAGAATTGATTACGGGGGTATTGAGCTTGCGCTGGCGAGTACGTGCAGCTGTACGATTAGTGTTGCAAATCGATCAGTACTTGTTAGAAAAAGCGACCGCTTCGAAGTACAGTGGAAACTAACCGGTGCGATCGTGCTATACACCCAACTGTTTGAGGTAAAGGTGAATGCAACAGACGGAAAGCTAGTATTATGCAAGAGTGTTCGTTGATTAGGTGCTATTACTCTAGGAACAATGTGTACATCTGCGATAAAATAGTATTGCAAAATATCTGGGTGGTACACACAATATAAGGGAAATTCGCAAATTTACAAGCATATTAATTATACTGTATTCCTGAAAAAATGTAATTTAATTAAATTTCACTGTAATTAATCGCGATTAATTTTGTGCTATAAACGATTATCATAGAATTTTTAAGTTACCCAAAAGTGTATGTATATTAGTTATAAATTGAGCTCGCAAACATGTTGGCGAAATAACGAATATACCTGAATGCTCTATTAAAATAGTTAACAACAACCATCGCGCATTGGAAATATTTTCTCTTTCTGCAAACAATTTATAACTTTCAAAATTTGTTTATCCGTTTTCTAAATAGCCAACATTATTTGGAGACGAGAGAGAAATAATCTCTAATCAGAAACAGTCATTCGGCAACAGTTTGACACAAATTCAGATACACAAACGATGATTTAATCACCTGTAAAATTTCGATTGTTGTTTAAGCCTGTTATTCGTGTCATCGGATTATGATTTATATTTAATGTTTACGTACAGAGCTGAATGTGTCTATTGATATTTCGAATATCTTCCCACCCGTAAGCTTCGGCGGATATCTCGATATACCAATCAGAATTATTAAGTCCTGGGCCTTCTTTTCTGGTAGGTTGTACCATTCTATATTGTAAGTCGCTTCACCAAATTTTTCGCCCTATTGAGAGAATAATTAATTTTATTGCTCTCGAAAGGGATGTAAGTGCGGATCATTGAAAATCGTACGACACCTCTTCGACAAGAAGATCGCCCGCGTAACAAATTATGAACATATTCAGAGTCATCGAAATCCACGAGCCAACGTATGTTCCGAGCGCTATCAAATCAACGTCTCTCCACGCCTAAAAGAAATCATGTACTTAATTAAGTGCATACGCAATCTAGAACTGCTAAACACTAATGCCGTTTACCATAATGGAAAGATATTCCATAGTGCATATAAGAAGAGTCGTGGTCGTTACTTCCAAAAAACATATCTCTTGCATCGCATACGCGACGCGTTTCGCGTATCTAAAAATATTTACAGATATAAGTAGAAAATTGCTATATCGTGGAAGCAGCGAGGAAGAAGTAATCAGTTTTGCTATGTGAAATAAGAATCGAACGATAAAGTGATAGACTTACGTTAATATCCCAACGTGATTACTGACGATAAGAGGTAAGAGACTTTTCTCCTTGTTATTCTTCGCATCTACAACCATATCTTCCAACAGTGCCATTTGAATCTGAAGCATTCCGCGAGCATGACCGACGAAGGTTGCCATTATACCGCACAAGGCTGTCTCTACGCCTACAGAGAGACACGCGTAAGCGCAGTGCGCGCTGTATATCATTTGGTAGATAGGTGCCGAGTAAATGTCATCAATAAACAAGTCTAACCCGGGGAAAAGCAATGGTTTCACATCTTCAGTGGCATTAGTGGCCACAGACCACGGGGACGAAAACAAGGGTAAAACGGTGACGTAGCATATGCCGTTGATGTACAAGAGAATCGTAAACGCGAGGGTCGATTTATTAGCGATAGCTAATTTTTCGAGCATGATAGTCTGGTGTTCCACGGTTTCTATCGATTTCCAATCCTCCTCCATCTGTTCGATGCAATCCTTCAACGCGGTTGATTTCGAACAGAGATAATAGAGCTTCATTATGCACGAACTGCAGTAACAGATAGGCGCAAAAATCGTGATCCGCTCGTCGATCTGTTTCACGTAGAAAAAGCAGTAGTACGTTGTCGGGAGCAGCGCAAACAACAAACTGCCTAGACACGCTGCTATCAGTATCATCGAGACGATTCTCTCGATTACGCCGTGGTAGCCGTTTATCAACGGCCAGACACCGATTACCTTCAGAAGCAGTCGACAATATTTTAGACTGTTCCGTGTATTTTTCTGATAATTATTATTCATCGTACGTCTCGACTGATTCTTAGAAACGTCTTAGTATCGTCGGCGTAGTTGTTCGACTGATCGAAGAGCATTCTCTTGACAGCGAATCTAAAGACGCAGGCGCATCGCTACCGTTCAAAAAAAGAGTTTAATTATGCGACGTATTGTTCTATAGAATGTATCAAGAGTGATATCGACTAGCGAACTTATACGTCGACGCACGTGATAATGCATACGATAAAAAGAAAAGTAAAAGGTAGAAGAACCGTGGAGGTTTTTTCGAACGAAGTATACTGTCTCCTCTCGTTGGCCGTTGGTTGAGACCGCAAAAAAAGACAAGAGCACGCGAACCGCTTTACCAGGTTCTACAAAGTTCGCACAAGTTTGTATCTGGGCTGAGAAATAATTGACAACGTTTGAAGTATACGAGGGACAGATGCAATTTCTTTCTTAATATCTCATCAGATGCGAAACCTGACCAGAAAGTTTTGCGTTTAGAAACTGTACGACGAATATACGAATCTGCAAGTTAAAGGATTACACTGCTAATTCTTTGGCTGTGAACTGATCAATTTCTGTACACTCAAATCTTTCGTCGAAGGTAATCTGCATACGAAAGAAATTCGTCAAAATATATGTAAGATAATCTTTGTGGATAAGATGTAAGTAGATATTGAAATTTGAATAAATTATAATTTCAATGTGTTTATTCGTTTCGTGTAACCATACATGGTGATAAAACGTTAGATTTCGGGTTTGAGCGATTTGAACGGTTACTTGTTACGTCATATACTCACACTGGTTAATTTTAGAAAATGGGTGA